TTTTTACATTAAAAACTCAAAAATCTTCAAAAATCACCAGGCATACTCTTCGCCCAAACGCTTTGAACGGATCTGAGACATGCTATATACAGGGTGCCCCAAAAAATGTACTCATTGTTTAAATGTAGATAACTTTCTTGTAATGGAGTGTTTCGGGAAGCTTTGGGGACCATTTTGTGGAGCGAAGTTCAACTAGATTCACAATATAGAGCGAATCACCCATCTCTCTTCATTACTGTAGGGTTACGATAGAAACTTGAAACATATGGCGTCAATGTGAAAAAAGCTGCCGTTTCAAAATTTTTAAAAAAATGTGAAAACTTGTGTAATAGGGTTTTTATGGACGCCGACTTCAATACTCAACTATTCACGAGATTGCGAAGCTTCCTAGACAGCAGTGTAACCGCACTTTTTAGGAGTTCGTGAATGCCTATAAACCTACTTCCTCCTTTCCGATACACAAATAATTCCCGTACAAATATCTCCTTTGCTTAGTCTTACCTCATTGTTGATTCTTCTTTTCGGTTTTTGGTGAAGGCGGTCACCTGTGTACAAGTGACCATGCCCGCTACTCTTCAGTAGCTGCTAGACATTGGAATATGCCCCAAGTATGCATCACATACCCAATGCAGAGCCAAGCTACGTGTCCCAATGGCCTAAGGCACTCAATGCGGCGACAGCGACTCTCTTACTCAAATAGAGAAAATTTATCAAGCACCGAAAATAATTTTTCCGAGGGTGGATAGCAGTGTCAGGACTGAATCAAGTAGAACAATTTGAAAACAGCGTCAGTGCAATATAAAGTAGCTTGGCTTGACTTTTCACTAAGTTGCTTATTTCAACGTTCCTAAGTCTTCGAATTTTTACAAGATTTAGGAACGAGTTTTTTTTTTTCAAATCTTATTTGATTTATATTTTTACATTCGTGCTTCATCTCATTGTCACCGACAAAATTAATGTTCGAGAATGCTGCTCAACTCTAAACACAAACACACACAAACAAACAGACAGGTACCCTCTTTATTGTACGTCCTAATATTCATATTCGAATAAGTTATCATAAATTGAATGAAGAAATATTTGAAACAATCGAATAATTGAATAGCTGAAATTTTGCGAATATTAAACTATCCAAATATTGGAACAGTCAAATATCTTAAACTTGTTGAGCACCAAATCGGTTCCATCATGCTTTCGAATATTCGGATATCTGAGTAAGTGCTTTTTCATGACATTAAAAAATCGAATATTCAGACAAGCCATTTTCTCAACTGGCATGATAAACGATTGTTAAAATCGCTGTCTCTTTCATATATTCAACTGGATTAATCAAATAACCAAATTTTTCGAATAGTTTGTTCGAATATTCGACCTCAGCTACAGGCTCTACTTTTCGACCACCACGCGTTGCAGTCGAATGCTATGTGCGAAGGTGCCTGTTTGTTGTAGATTCTTTCGCATCTTCTAGCAGAAAAGTGGGAAGATTCGGAAAATGAAAAAACCTCAGAATATGCAAATATCGATAACCACATGTTTAAAAGAACGGAAGTGACTCTTTTTTAGTTGCAAATATTGAATCAATGGAAAATCTTCTCTTGTCTGGTTATATTATTGCTTATGCAGCAAGAAAAAGCGCCGATGCATATCCAGGCTGCCAAAGAACGACATATACGCAGGGCAGACATTTTTTGATCGAAAGTCCAAATTTTGTTTTAGCCTCATTTTCTCTTCACCCATCAGAAGATTTGACATACTAAGAAGTAAAGAATATTGCGTATTATTTGCACTAACGGTGCATTAGCACTTCCTCAAATAAATTCATCCGGACACAACGACTCTGAGAGAAATACCGAGATAGAATGAGAAAAATGCCTTAGAGGGAGAAGTCGAGTGTTCTACTACTTTGAATCGTTTTTGTGTTTCTTACGAGTCGTTAGTTTGTTAGTCCATCCCCATGCTACCTGCCGAATGTTTCAAGGAATGCTGATGCTTTGTCAGGTTTATTGCTGGCTCGTTAACTTTTAAAATTGATGTCTTTCGTTTGAAGAAACCTCATCCTTCCCAGAGCTGAAACAGTTTATTAACGCTAATGCTCTTTCATGGATCAGATTTTTCTTTTAAGAGCAAAGCAGTATCTGCGCAAGGACTGACTCATAAGAAGTTTGAAGTCAAGGTCTAATAAATTTTGAAGACCCAACGATCGAATTTCTTTTCGAAAGTTCCAGCATCTAAGTTATTCCTGTATATTCCCTCAAAGTATACATCTATGACAGTGGAATGTGAAAATTCTCGGCGAATTCGGCGATGTTGGCTAACTCGGCAAAATCGCCGAAAAACGCAAAGACGCCGACTTCGCCGACATCGCCGAGAATTTTCACATTCCAAAGTCATAACTGTTCGAATGCATGTATGGCAAATTTTATAATTTCCGCTTACGTGGATTACTCGACGTGCTAACAACAGTTTTTACATTGTTTTGCTGCTGGTGGCACATTATAGAATAGAATATCTGCCAAATTACACGACTTTCGAATTTGAATGACAATTCATGAAAAGGCGATTTTGTAACATCACAATCTGACGAACAATGCAGATAAAGATCTGTGCTAAGCATGGTCCCGGTAGAGGTTCACAAAGTTTTGAACTGCACGCAGACAATTTTCGCAATAGATAGGCAAAAAGTGCAGGCGAGTTTGCGATTTTGATGTTTTGAGCCACTTCTATCTCACTTTAGCTATATGTAACACTATGAGCGAAGTTTCCGGTCAATCCGAGAACCTCAATATTTCCACCAAATCTTGCGCCGAGACCAATAGTGAGGAGCGAGCACGCTATATCAGTGTGTATTGCTTCTCAAAAGCTGGAAAAAATATGGAATGTATAGGTATGAGATAGGTTCTAATGTGATTTTTGGGGGAATTACGGGGCAACTTTAAGAGAGCCGATCTTACGGCCTGAGCATGTTGGGGGACTAATAACTCTGCGAATATTAAAGATATGAGGCTGGGGTTTGTTTTGTTGGACAGATCTTTGAATATATAATTTTTAGAAAGAAAGTCGTAGGATAACAAATTTTCATTAAAAGTGCCTAATTGACAGCCGAACTTGGGAAATCTGTCAATAAAAGCGAGTTCACGGCCTCATCTCTGCAAGTTGCAGGGCTGGGGTAATTTCATGTGGTAATTTTGGTAGCTCTATTTTCATATTGCAAGCTGGTGTCCATACCTCCAGTGTAGGAGGCGCTATATAGCCGATGATGCATATTTTGAATTTTATCTCCGTGGAAAGTAGGGATGACGGCCTGGGGTAGCCATTCCTCAGTTTGTATTCGAAGGGGACACCACATATAATTCGGAAAAAAATGCGGGGGCTCCGTCTGTGGGAGCCCATCTATGAAACTTCCCGGACTTTTTTTAGTTCAGGCTCTCGCAATTTCTCACTTTTCTCCCTCCTCATTTTCCCCCTCTCTTTATTACTGCAACGCGTATGATAGTTACCCGGCGGCCATCTGCACCTGGTTAGGAGGCTGAAAAGGGCTAGAAAGGGGATAAATAGGGTAGAAACATGCAATTTTTCTTATTTTTCTTTATTTTCTCCTATTTTTTCTTATTTTCCTTAAATTTGATCGTGATGTGAGGGAGTAAGTGGGCGGAGCTTGTTTGGAGGAGTTTCAGCTGTATAAAAACATGGAAATAAGCTTATTATAGAGTTTATCAAATTTTCTCGCTTAGTTTTTCACTTATTCTACCGATTTTCGGGATTTCGTAACCTTCACAATATTGTTTTATAGATTTTTGTCGGTTTTGGAATCTCGCAACCTTCAAAATATCGGTTTTATCAATTTGCCAATTTCCGGGATTTCACAGCCCTCAGAATATCGATTCTATCAATTTTTGAGGATTTGGTAGTTCAATACCTCCAAAATATCGATTCTTCGCTTTTTAGTTGTAAACTAAGTCCCGCCCACTTACGATGTTACTATACAATACTATACAATCTCCGTAAATGTCGCGAAATTCCGAAAATTCCGCGGAATTCCCGGAATTTCGCGAAACTTCGCTTCCCGGAGATTTTGCACATCATGTGAGCGGTATTGTATCTGGCTGATATCATACGTAATTTTCTCATCTGCTGATGGCAGATGAACATTAGGAACGGCTTGTGCATGTTTCCATTCAAACCTTCATCCTGAAGTGATCTATAAGCTTTTTCACAGTTATGAAAATGTCATAGTTATGAGTGGAATGTGAAAATTCTCGGCGAATTCGGCGATGTCGGCAAATTCGGCAAAATCGCCGAAAAACGCAAAATCGCCGACTTCGCCGACATCGCCGAGAATTTTCACATTTCAAAGTCATACTTACTGTCCAAAGTCATTACTGTATGCAAGAACAGTTGTATTTTTGCTGTAACTGGTATACGAAAGGCAAAATAAGGTGTAGGAAAATTAATTCTCGGTTTTTAGAGCTAATTTTTGGTCTTTACTCACATTTCTTGTTTCCTGAAAGACAGTGCTAAAAAATTGAAAATCTCCAGTTTGTGCTTGAGAAGATAGATACTCATGTACAAGCCAACAATGATTCGTTTGCAGCATTCCGGTTCTCATTTTTAGCTACGAGAGAATACGATGTCTTTGTTAGAAAAACTTATGCGGAGAGTATAGGCATAGGGAAGTTTGAGTGGCAACATTCTTCAAAGGATTTAAGATTATATTCTTTAGCTTATTTAACGCAGAAATCATCAGGCGATTGCTTTAGTGGTACCCTGAGGGCTTGCTTTATCGAATCTTGTGTTTCTACAATTTTTTTCAATCTTTTCTTCTTTCCAATTTCTGATCTCCTGCGGTAGCATGAGGAACATGCAGTAATAAAGTTATCACGCAATCATCATCAGTAAGTTTGGTTAGTAAGAGTTACCTACCAGATCTATGTGAAGTAATTATAGTCTTTCTCAAATTGTACATTACTACTTGTCATACGGCAGATAAAAGCATGATTGCAGAATGCGAGTACTGATCTTTTCGTTTGTTCTCTCATCATGCTACTGCCTTCTTGGATTCCCGAGGTGGCAGACAGTTGGAGCAATGGGATTACTTCTTTGTAACGGTGAACCCGCTGCCGGAGTATTTATGGTTTTGTATGACAAAGGTTACTGTGAGTATAAATGCAAAGCTGAGCTCCACTTTAAATCATAATTTCAGTTCACAAAACCAAGCTGGCTTACGTCGCAACGGACAAAAATGGATTTTTCAAATTTTCAGGCACTGCTAAAGAGATATTCCAAATTAGTCCAAAACTCCTCATTTACACTTGGTGCAACCGTAAAAGGGTACTGTTTTTTTCTTTGATGATGAACATTTACATTTCCGAAAGAACGTTGAATTACTAAGCTTACAAGACCACACGAATGATGTTCAGGATGGATTCAATTCGAAAATGAAGGAGGTCTGCATAGACATTCCACCAAAGTATATAAGCAGAGGAAAAAAAGTAAAGCAATACTGGGACGTCGATATTGAGCTTGGCACAGAGGCCAACTTATGCTCAATTTCCGCCGCGCAATGAATAAAGACTGTCGTCCGCAAATTTGAGTTGTACGGGACATGGATTAATGTCGCATGAACAAATCTCAGAAATGCATTTGTCAGAGTAATTCTATGCTTCTTCTTTTTTTTCTTCTTGTCATTCCTTTAAGCTATATGAATTTAGTTTCTTGACGTCCTCCTTCCTTGTTTTTTAAGTCCATATCAGTCATGGAAATCCGATGAAATTACAGCGCATTGCTTTGCGTTTGCTGTTTTTGCTTTTAGCTTGGAGAGAAAAAATGCAAACTTTTTTTTAGAAACAGACAATTTGGTTATATCTCAAGGAAAAAAAACTAAAATAAACTTCCAGTCATAGATGCGATAGGACGAGCCGGGCTCTCCCCAGGTGAAGGGAGTCTCGGCTGTTCCCGACCTTCCAGGGTGAAGGGGGTATGTGTGTCTAGGGGGGGGGGGAGGAAGAGAGAAAAGGTAAAAAAGCGTGGTATGAAGAGCTCTAATTTGTACCTTATTTAGGCACAAATTGAAAAAAAATTCAAAAATTTTCAAAAGAAATTAAAAAATTTTGAAAAAGATTATGAAGATCTGTGCTCCTGTTTCATTGCATCAACAAAAAACGAAAGCAATAGTGTTTATCCCAAAAGATGTACAAGTTAGGAACAACTTCATTTCCTGCACATCATCATCAACAATACCACTATCGCTAACGTCAGAGACAACAAGTTCGCTGCCTGAAAAATCTTCTTCTTCCTCCAAAAGGTCATCGGAGTAGAAGTAGAATTGCGTGCAAAAGCGTTCTGAATCGAAAATGGATTTGAAACTTTCTTCTTCCTTTAAGCGCTTTTGTGATTTTTTTTCTGGCCCTCTGGAGCATCAGGAAGTCAGCAGGTAGGTGACCAGTTTCTTTATACCTTCTTTTAGGATATTTCAAAAAGTCATACGGTAACAGCCTGTCTGGACCACTTATACCAATCCTTTAAATGAAGTTTTTAGATAACAATGTGTTTAGTAGAAGATTGACAAATCTTAAGTATTTGCTTAGATGCTCTATCGTTGTACGATTTCTGCGTTGTGTTCTGATAACAGAGTAGATAGAAAATTTCTTTCTCCACCTCTGCCGTGTTACTCGGAATGGAAACTAGCTTTGCTAGTAGGTCCATCAGATTTTTGCGGTAAGTAATGGGGAAAGAGCCAGATCTCATATGCTTTCGCAACACGGGAAGGAAATATTGCATACTTTTTTGGGCCTTGTCGAACTCTGGCTTCACCTCCTCTGGCGTACGTCTTGTTAGTTGATGGGAAAGCTGCTCAACTTCTTCTTTAACAGCATCTGCGGATTAGCCGAAAAAAGTATCAGGGTGATCGGTTAAAAATGGGGCAGCTTGGTTTTTATTAAATTTTGAGTTTTTGTTTCGATTAACAATAAGCAGGCTGCAACGTACCTTCGCCTATTATTCTGTCAAAGCGTCAACGCTCCTCTCCCACAACCCTACGCGTGGCGCCCTGAAGAACGCGAAAGGGGTTTTTTGAACATCGCTCATTCTTGCGCTGCCGTATTGTAAAGTTATAGAGCAATTGATATACCACTCGAAAGAGCTTTTTACGCTTTTTCGAACGGGTTATGCAACATACAGGATTATTTTTTACTTCTGGGTAAAAAAAGCGAAATACCTGAAAAATTGCGATTTTTTGGCGCAACAAAATCCACTAAATCAAGTTTCAATCTGTATTTTCCGAAGATAGATAAAATGTGAGGTAAGCTGCATATGGATGGCTAGAGCGCAAAAAGCTTTTTCAGATGGTACCTATAAAACTTGCGTTCACCTGCAAAGAATTAAATAGCATGTATCTTTGTTCTCAAAGCTGCTAATGGCCTTATCTCCTGAATTTGAAAGTTGAAGCCAGCAATCCATCGTGGGTCTAGTGACTGTACCTTCACGCATAGCAGCAGTAGTAATTTGGATGGTTTCGTATGTTCCACTGCGCAGATACTGCCCGAACTTTATAATTTGTCAAAGTGACTAACTTTACATTTCAGCCACTTTAAAAATTATCAAGTACGTAAATGACCTTATATAGGTATTTTCTGAAAGAGAATAATTCATTTTAACGCTTATCAAATTTGGGAAGTTTAATCACTTCTCCTTTTTGAAAAATCTACATTTATTCTCTAGGTGCCCCATTTTTTACCGATCACCTTAATAGATACTATGCTGCGCGTTGGTTTTTTCTTTCAATATCATAGGTCATAATATCACAAGGCGAAAAACTTTCAGAAGCATAAAGCACAGAGTTGGGTTCGTACTCCAGTCGGGACCTAAGAGCAGTAGCTATGCTTGTACTAACATCCTGTACACCATCCTTCTGTTCATATCCATGTTCGTGAATTTAGCAGCCTTGAAATCTTCAGCAACCTGAAGATCAGCAATGGACTTCCTGGACATTTCCTCATTAAAACTGGCAATCTGCTTGGATTCCTTATGTAGATCAGAGAATTTCGCTCAATCAACTCTGTATCAATGTCGACAACATTTTCGTCGATGTAAGATACTCCTTCTGCCTCGCTGTTGAACTGGAACACATGCGAGTCATCTGCGATTTTCTAAAGTATTCTGCCTGCCGTTTCCTCTTCAAACTGCCAACCTTTCCAAAACTTGAAGGATATTTTAATAACATGTTGTTCCTCTGAATGTCTCAAATTTTTTGATTCATTGAAACCAACCATTCTCTACAAATTAGGTGAGGTGAGTCTAGAGCGTTTTCACGAAAGTGACCTTCTTCAGCACTAGGTTTACAGAGTATAGATTCCAGAAATGGGCGGGTTTTGTGTGAATGTGTGGAAATTCACCAATCTCCCATAGTTTTTTGAGTGTGTGCTAACAATGATGGCATAACTGTCAATCAAAAGCGCATTTTTTACCAAAAAAAAACATATAACAACGATAAGCACGCTCAAATAGACGCATTCGCTCACGTTCCCGATAGTGCTGATAACAATGTCAATCCACAGCACATTTTTTACTATTAACTTGCTCCACCTCGCTCTTATTAGGTCGTTCAGAAAGTTTTTGCACATGAATTTCAAAATTCATAACTTCTGATTTTTCCAACCGATTTGACTGCTTTCACTTTTATGTGAAAGGGTAAGTCATGCTCTTTATAATGACATCTCAGCTGCTTAGCAATGATCATATGTTGCACAGATAGCAGCGATAGAAGAAAAATGGTAAAAATTTCATAAGTTCTCCTTTCTTTAAACCTTGGCATGTTGATAGTATATTGTTTAACTTTTTATGCCACAACAGGTTTTTATCGGAACTCTTTATTGAGCCTTACGTTTCGGCGGAAAAACGCCGTCCTCAGAGGCCTGAAAGCGATTCAATCACTTCCATCAAACGTTTTATGCGACCAAACGCCTTAACCAACTCGTACGTTCAATTTGTCTAGAGTGATCGGAGTCTAGCGTCCACGCGAATTGACTTACCAAGAGTTCCACAGAAGAGCACGACAAAAGCTCTTTTGGTCGCCTACAGGATATGGTGACAATGAACAGCCCAGCTGAGTTGGACATGTTTATGTAGCTGTAGGTTATCTAGAAACCGCAAAATGATAGGAACGGCTTAAGATCATTTGTGATCGACAACTGTTCATTCTTGCTATTCATTCTCGGATTTCGAGCAAGAATGTATGCGGCTTCCAACGCCTTCCGAGCCGAGATGTTATGCTCGACTGCCAGTATGTTACAACTTATTTCAAAATCTTCGCCTTCATGGTCCTCCTTTCTATGCTTCCCCAGTAAGCTCACGAAGCTCTGTCTTCGTTTGCTGGCCAGATGTTCATTCACACACACTGAAAGTGTGACTTGCAAGCTTTATCATACAATCGATTTCGAACCAGTTGTTTTCTGATGCTATCTTGTGGTATATTCACTGAGACAACATCATCCTCCAACTGCGCTTGCGCTATACATTGCTTAACTGCATTGGTCACTTTGTCGGATATGAACGGCAAGCACAAAGGAATGCGTGTTCGACTTCGGTTGCTTGCGTTCACGCGTGTTCGCCTGGAGGCTCTGGGGTGCAGTGGGTACCCGTTGTTGGAAACGATGACGCGTGCCATTTCCAGAGACTCAAGTCTTTCACTTTCGCCGCTGCATACGCTGCTTGCTGTTCTGAACATGTTGCAGATAACCGCACGTTTCACGGCAGTTGGATGTGCAGAGGTCGCGTGCAGAATGATGTTCTTGCTGCGCTCTTTCCGATGCCATTCAATGTGTACAGTGCTTTTAGTCAACATCACTTGTGTGTTGAGAAAGGGTAGCCAGCCATCGTGTGGTTCTTCTCTGGTCAAGCAAATGTACTGCGATTGTTCATTGAAGATCTTGAAGCACTCGTCCATTTCGGACTGAGTCGATGTGACAATGAAACAATCGTCTATATAGCGGCACTACAAAAGGGGACGTCGCGTTAACACGGGCTCTTCTATCTTGCTCATAAAGCAGATAGCAAGCACCGGAGCTAGTCTTTGCCCCATTGCCAGCCCTCTTAGTTGTTGATAATACTTGTCCGCCCATCTGAAGATATTACATCCCAGGCATTCCTTGATAAGAGTAATGATGCGTACTTTACTGAGTCCGTAAGTTTCCGTATTTGTAATACGTGAATCGAGAAGCTCAGAAAGTGCCTGTAAGGCGTCATCATTAGACACATTTGTGTATAATGACTCCACATCAAAAGACTCTATTACACAATGCTGATCGAAATTCGTATTGCGTAATTGTTCAAGGAAGCGATTGGTATTCGGCAGATGAGCGGGGATCGTACTTAAGAGTTGGCTGACAATCTTGTTCAGGAACCATGCAATTCTGTCTGTTGGCTTTGTAACGCGACTGATGATTGGTCGAATTTTACAATTTGCAGCTGACACATTTCGTGATCGGTCGAGAGCTTATGCGTTTTAACGAGGCTGTAGAAGACAGGGCAGATCGGATTTTCAATCTTGAGCCGACTGAGGAACCTTTCTTCTAAACCGGCTTGTTTGCCAATCACCATCCACATATGGTTCAGCCGTTTGCATTGGGAAAGAAATTCTTTCTCTATTGAGCGACGATATACTGAATCATTGGATAGGTGACATTCGGTAATGTCACGATCCAGTGTCTGGGGCATGATAACAAATTCGCCTCCCTTGTCGCTGATCGAAACTCGGAGGGTCCCATTAGACGTAAGTTCACGTAGCTCCTTGAACCCCTGCCTTTGTGCGTAAGTCAAATTAGATTGTTTGATACGACGACTTTTATTCAGAATGTTTAGAATGCCAGCCGACAGTATACGAAATTTGACACCAGCTTCGTGGCAGGGTTCGGGTTCTTTGTAGAACGACTAAGACGGCTGGCAATGGGGCAAAGACTAGCTCCGGTGCTTGCTATCTGCTCTATGAGCAAGATAGAAGAGCCCGTGTTAACGCGACGTCCCCTTTTGTACTGCCGCTATATAGACGATTGTTTCATTGTCACATCGACTCAGTCCGAAATGGACGAGTGCTTCAAGATCTTCAATGAACAATCGCAGTACATTTGCTTGACCAGAGAAGAACCACACGATGGCTGGCTACCCTTTCTCAACACACAAGTGATGTTGACTAAAGGCACTGTACACATTAAATGGTATCGGAAAGAGAGCAGCAAGAACATCATTCTGCACGCGACCTCTGCACATCCAACTGCCGTGAAACGTGCGGTTATCCGCAACATGTTCAGAACAGCAAGCAGCGTATGCAGCGGCGAAAGTGAAAGACTTGAGTCTCTGGAAATGGCACGCGTCATCGTTTCCAACAACGGGTACCCACTGCACCCCAGAGCCTCCAGGCGAACACGCGTTAACGCAAGCAACCGAAGTCGAACACGCATTCCTTTGTGCTTGCCGTTCATATCCGACAGAGTGACCAATGCAGTTAAGCAATGTATAGCGCAAGCGCAGTTGGAGGATGATGTTGTCTTAGTGAATATACCACAAGATAGTATCAGAAAACAACTGGTTCGAAATCGATTGTATGATAAAGCTTGCAAGTCACAAAACTGCGTTGTGTGCACAAATGAGAGGTCAGGGGATTGCTCACGAAGTGGTGTAGTTTATCAGTTGGAATGTCAAACATGCCGGGCCATTCACATCGGTGAGACAGGTCGGCCACTTTCAGTGCGTGTAAATGAACATCTGGCCAGCAAACGAAGACAGAGCCTCGTGAGCCCACTGGGGAAGCATAGAAAGGAGGACAATGAAGGCGAAGATTTTGAAATAAGTTGTAAATACTGGCAGTCGAGCATAACATCTCGGCTCGGAAGGCGTTGGAAGCCGCATACATTCTTGCTCGAAATCCGAGAATGAATAGCAAGAATGAACAGTTGTCGATCACAAATGATCTTAAGCCGTTCCTATCATTTTGCGGTTTCTAGATAACCTACAGCTACATAAACATGTCCAACTCAGCTGGGCTGTTCATTGTCACCATATCCTGTAGGCGACCAAAAGAGCTTTTGTCGTGCTCTTCTGTGGAACTCCTGGTAAGTCAATTCGGCGTGGACGCTAGACTCCGATCACTTTAGACGAATTAAACGTACGAGTTGGTTGAGGCGTTTGGTCGCATAAAACGTTTGATGGAAGTGATTGAATCGCTTTCAGGCCTCTGAGGACGGCGTTTTTCCGCCGAAACGTAAGGCTCAATAAAGAGTTCCGATAAAAACCTGTTGTGGCGTAAAAATTTCAATTTTCTGTGTAGGGTCATAAAAAATCGACTTGCAACAAAAATCGGAGCAGTCAGTACTGTAGATTCTTTCACCAGCTCTTTCTAACAGTGCAAAGTTTGCTCCGATTGAGCGTCTCCATGAAAAGTTATGATTTCCCTGAAGAATGCCAAAATAAATCAAATTCGCCTTTTTGTACTGCTTGCTCGGAAATTATAACTTTTCATGGAGACGCTTAGTCGGAGCAAACTTCGCACTGTTAGAAAGAATTGATGAAAGAAACTAAAATACCGACTGTTCCGATTTTGTTGCAAGTTTCTGATTTTTTATGACCCTACACAAAAGTTCAAATTTTGAGTGATTTTGTTTTGAGCTTCTATCTATGCAATAGTTGACCATTACTAGCAGCTGGGAGGCCATTATAAAGAGCATGACTTACCCTTTCACATAAAAGTAAATGCAGTCAAATCGGTTGGAAAAATCGGAAGTTATGAATTTTTGAAAATTGTGCGCAAAACTTTCGGGACGACCTATACAATGTGTTGGCTTTTATGGGTCACTGAAGCAAATGATTTTTAGAGCCGGGAAGCAAAGAAGCCCTAACATGCTGTATACCATTCGGAAGCTGAGATCATGGAGAATCGAGTAGACCGTCGACTTTTTTCTAGGTCTTCTGTGCCGCGAGATATGAGAAATTTCATGTGCTTCAAAAATTAACTGATTTTGTGTCCTCACTTTCTGCCCTCCAAATGAATGCTACGAGGAAGTCGACGGTCTACGTTTGTTAATGAAGACTTGCTCTTTAACAAAGATAAATAATCAGCAGTGATTAGGTCTTCATTTGGCAGAAATATGCTGTTGAAAATGATCATGTTTTCCGATAAAATGCAGTGTATCTCTCGGTAGAAGGGGGCTAGAAAGAAGTCGGCGGCCTAGGTCGAATCCCCTTTTCCTGAGCTTTCGAATGGTATATAGGTTGCTGGGCGAAAAAACTAAGCAGTTCTAAAAATGGGGTGGAGATATTACATGTATTATTATTATATTATTATTTAACTAATAGCTTGCTCCAACCCAGCTCCACCAATGTATTGGCTTCTATCGGTTACCGGAGCAAATGATTTTTAGAGCCGGAAAGCAAAGAAGCCCTAACATGCTGTATACCATTCGAAAGCTGAGATCATGGAGAATCGAGTAGAACGTCGACTTTCTTCTAGGTCTTCTGTGCCGCGAGGTATGAGGGATTTCATGTGCTTCAAAAATTAACTGATTTTGTGTACTTACTTTCTTCTCTCCAAAATGCTACGAGGATAAATAAATGATATAAATAAACATAAATATCATTTCTTTAGTAAATTTATGAGTGTGCCTGTTGTTTGCGGTACTTAGCCTGCTTTTCGTAACGATTTTTATCATATTCTCAGAGTACAATACCAATCTCAGCCCAGGTGAAGGGGGTCATCGGGAGTTTGGCCTCAAAGTGAAGGGGGTAAGATCCATCACTCCCCCTATCGCAACTATGCTCTCGATAAATCTCGGCATAGTTTATAAGTTGAAATTGATATCTTGTAGCCAACGCCGAAATTGTTACAAACTTTATTGGCCAACGTTTCGGCTTCTCGCCTTTGTCAGGGCCTGAATGGGGTATCGATTTGTAACCCATACGGGCAAATGTCTTTACGGCCTTACGAGGAAGGTCTAAGCCTTAATTTTGGCCACTAGCTTTGCAACAGTTACTCACCACACAAATAACACCCTTGGTTGAACGACCGCTGGGCTGACCGTATACGGAAGTACTAAATGGGAGGTCAGCATAGTTGGCTCAGATAAGGAGATAGTTCTCTCGTAATTGCGAGGCATTCTTCTTTACGGTTGATTTGTGGGTTCCTAGCATGAATCCACAATGCTTCTAGAAACTTGCGAACAGCCGTCTTAGGTTCATGTGCTAATCTCTTTACGGTCACTTCAAAACTCGATCCTTCATGCCTTAGTACTCTGTGTGTTCCTAACGGAATAGAAGTTCGACAAAATTTAGCCTGGCCTACTGGAATAATGTACGGCAAAATTGCGAAAGAGAGTGTAAACAAGGATCAAACAAAAGAAACCGTTTTACTATTCAGACGATAGCGCAATTCCTTGAAACTCTTAAGATGCCTAATTCAGACGGTGATTCTACAAAAAAAACTCAAGTCGACCTTTTGCCGTACAGCTAAAGTAAGTCTGCCGTATGATGCTTACGAAGGTCATCTTGTTGGCCAGCACCTTTGATAGCCGCCTTTGATTACATGCTCTGCAATTCCCTTAAAAGCACTCCATACTCACAGCTGTTGTAGTTCATTGAGAACTAGAAATTGCGTTTCTCAAGTCTCCCATAGAAAGTTGGTACAAAAATGCTATGAATGTTATCTTGTTAAGGAGTGACTTTACGCCAGCGACATTGTCAGTGCTCCCAGTCGTGTCACGGCGATCAATTTGGTATGTAATGTTGCAGAGTTTTGGCTCGCGGAGATCTATTACCGGAAAAATGTCTCATCGGCTCTTGTCTTTCTCCTCTGCTCGTCTGAGTCTCCGCGCGCTGCGCGTTACTTCGTTATCCCAAATGCGGGGCACGGGGCAGTTGGTTTTGGTACCCCTTCCTTTATTAGTTTGAATCCACTGCAGCAAACCTTATATCCTATTATAGCTCTTGAACTCTACTTTCACGATGATAATGCCGCAAAGCCCATTTATGGTTCAAACTATGGTTCTGGCTAAAGCCATGTCAAAAACCTCTTGTTTTTCTTTATTTTCGTTCTCTTTAGATTTTTTTCGCGACTTCAATAGATCTTGCCTCCATAATGTAGACAACGTCGCAGAGCTAGCTTCTTCAACTGTGTTGAACCTTTGATAAAAAGCTGCAAAAAGTGTTTTTGTCTATAGCTCTTGGAGTTATCAAGCAACCATTATTTTTACGCGTAGTGCATCTTGCTCAGAATTATAAGCAGAACGAGATTGACGAAATGAGAATAAGGCGAAAATTCAAGGATAGCTTCCGAAACTGTATTAGCTTTGACGTGCATTTCGACCTAGTAAAAACGCTTTGCCCGGGGGGCACGCGCAAGGCGACAATGCGCGTAAAATGCAAGCAATATGAAATTGCTCTTGCTGACTTTTACAGAATTGTACTTGTGACATCGAGTCATGTATCTGCCCCACCCCCAACCCCCCCCCCCCTACCTTAGCGCCGGGTCACTTTAGGAACAAAGAGTTTTGAAAGGCACAAAATTTCAGGATTGTCACCTTCCGCCTTCCGCACCCTTCTCGCACTTTGCTCTCTTTTTGTTTGTCTTCTTCATGATCATCCCCACTTCCAAAACATGTTTGTTTTTGGAGAGATCACAAAGAAGAAAATGCTTCCTCGTTGTCCCTTATGTTGGCAATATGTTAGCCATATTATATCGCAGGAATGACGGAGATCAAAGGTAGCAGCAACTGCGGAAGAGACAATACATCTCACTTAAATTTGGTCTGTCGTTGTTCTACACATCATCAGCAGATTTTTTATTAACAGCATCAAAATGAAACATGACAACTTGCATTGAGCAAACGGTTCGAATCACTACATAACATATAACAATTTCGTGTTTACCACTTGGCAGTTCTTAAATTTTAAACGGTCTTCATGCGGCACGTAGGTATGAACTGTCTTTCAGATAGATAATATTGGTTTGTAAGCGGCACGTAGGGCAATTTGATCGGACAGGGAAACAAATTTTTGTACATTTGTGCAGTTTTTGTGATTAGAGGTCTTTGGGTGGCTCAGCAGTCGTGCTTTTCGGGGAGGGATCACCTTTTGTAGTAAAGCTTCATATTCCTTTGGCGAAAAAATTTAAGGTCTCTGACAAAGTCCTTAAACAATTGATTTCGCTGCTGTAGGAATGATTCTGAGAGAAAAGTGTTTTTTGTAGCACACATAATTGTTATGGGTGTATTTCTACTTCCAAAATCATAGGTGCTATTATTCAACGACATTTTAAGGAATTTATTGAGAAGAACTGGAAGAGCAAATTTTCTTTGAGAAATTAAAAATTTTCTTTGAGAGAGTTTTATCTGAATTGTCTCTGTAAGGAGAGGAAATTTGCAGAAAGAGCGTGGTAAACAAGAAAAGAATAATATTCTCCATGCGTGGTTGTAGCAGGAATTTCGAGAAATGCTAGATTAGTGGAGATTATCGCACTTCGAGCGAGTCTCCTTTCGTAGAATGCTCTTCGCAAAAATGTTTTCAGGAAAGGAATAGGAAACTTATTTAGAAATATTTATAGTCACAACTAACCCTTATATTGTATCTGCCCCGACCGAGTTGCTAGCGGCCCGTAGGGTCGCTAGTCTATTTAACATTGAAAATCGCATCCGAAGGGTCTTCATTTTCTTGGCGGGCTTTTCCTTCTTCATAAGAGCGACTGTGACAGCCTTTACAATACGCTCCACTTCGTCGTCCGTCCTTGATGCGCTAGCGATAGTCCCACTCCCTGGTTGAGTAGAAGAGCTGCTGGTGACCTTCAGCGGTGGTAGTTTGGGCGTGCGTGGTGGAGGGGGAGAATGCCTGCAAATCAAAAATTAGTCAATCAATAGAAGTGATCCAACCAACTTACCGCCTTCAGGAAGCACGTTAATGTCTTCCAGATTGCCGACTCCCGAAGGCCCTTGGCTTTTTCGATCTTCCTTCACGAACAATTTTGTTGATATTCTCTTCATTGAACACGAAGAATTCGCCATCAGTGCTGCCGATACGAAAACAGATAAACGATTTTCACCATTATACCTTCCATCGTTGACTATGAGCTCAAAATCGGACGACCTCAGAGCCCGCCGCCTTATATATATCCCGCGGGGCGAGGTCAAGGGGCGGCGGCGGGCTTTGATTGACCGCCTTGCCATACACAAGGATGTTTCGAGAGACGAAAGATATGCAGCAAGCCAGCGGCTGCATTTAGAGCGCAAATTATGATTGGGGCATATTGGCATCATCGAGTTCGCTACGACAAGTTATTCATATAAACTTCCTTCTCTATCGGCCCTAATCAAACTTAATAAAACCAGAAATCCCTTACATATCTAGCTTTCAATTGTTTAACTATTTCCACAGCCTCCCTGTCATGAAAGCGCTCTTCTTCGCCGCTTGAATCATCCTCTCTCTAGAAAATCTGTCGATATGACGATAAAATGATGTCCAATACTCTTGGCCCACCAACTGCTTCTTCTTTATCTCTTCACTAGCTGGCTTACCCGGCTCCTCTTGGCTCTGTCAAAAACGATAAAGGTTCCACTCCTATCTCTGTACAACCTTTCCCTGTGCCCACCTCTACATGCAATTCCTATTCCGGCTGTGTTAGTAATCAGTATGCTTACCTACTTTCTTCATCAACCCTCAGCGTAGCTCAAACTTTGCAAAAATCAATAAAATCGATGAAAGTAAGGATAATTCCCAAAAACCGATGGCGTTTTTCGGCTATCCGGGCCCCAAATTGTTTTTGTGTTGAGTCTTGCTCAAACTCGGTTTATAGGGGTTATTCGAGCCGTTGATGACGAACATCGTAGTCATTTCGCGCGATAGCGTCATTTTCTGGGTTTACGGTGGGTACACGTAAGAAGCTAAAATCAAATCATATTTGCTGAAACTTTGCTTAAAGTGAGGAAGGGGGCTAATTCGAAAATCCTGCGACAGCCACTGGTAACTAAATATGTAGCTGAACCTCCCCTAAACAAAGTTCTAAGCAACATATTTTCATCCATATACTGTAAATTCAAAGAAACCCCTTTTTTGAAAGGGTATTTTCAAGCGGAATTATTCCACCAAGCCAACTTCCATGAAATCCTGTAATTTTTGGATATGGGTAGTTTACCGTATCTATTCTCCGCTACAAAACGCTGTGAAAAACGGGCAATGTGATTGTAGTTACCACACCGCATAAAGCCACTGAGCCAGCAAATTTTAAATCTATTATGTGGCTTTGGCTTTCACTAAATTCAATAGTAACCCTGCTCTATCTCTCCGCGTAAAAAATGAATATTTTATCCAAAAAATGAATATAATATCAGCGCAGCAAATAGCCAGAAGTTTCAGTAAATTGCTTGAATCGCGCCCAACTACTGTAACCTACCGTAACCTCGTTAAATGACCCGCTGTCACAAATGAATATCGTGATCAGCGTGCCAAAAACTCCACGGTATCAAGTTTCGGACAATTTTGTGAATTTTGTGCAACTACCGTATCCCTACCTAACCTCGCTATGTTGAGCGAAAGGCGAAAAATGAGCATCGTATTTATGATCAGCACGTCAAATGACTCCCGGGGCCTAAATTTTACAAAATTTTGAATTTTTGTGTTCAACAGCGAACCATGATACCTATCATGCTTGATGAAGCTCGGAGCAAAATCTACCCCGGAGAACTTTTTAGTTGTACCTCCTCATCGATACACTATTTCTCTTTCTCTAGCCAAATTCAGAGTTAGCTTCGAATTAGCGAAACGCGCCCAAACTTAGAGTTAACGCGCAGCTGAACCGTTTCGCTTGTAGCTTTCGCGTGGATTGAGTTAAGCAACGCTTCCATAATTGGCATAAGCTACGTACTGCGGGGTACCCTGCCATATCACTTCCCCCGTTTGGTTTATTCATGCAAGCGTTAATGGTTCCTGAAAGGTGCGTGTTAATTCGGAGTTAACTCTGAGTTTGAGCTGCGCGTTTCGACAAGTTTACTACAGACCCTGGGTTTTACAATTTTCGAAAAGTGCCATTACATCTCATTACAACACTACTGTCTCTGGCAAGCTTCCGTGTCTACAACCTATTTAAGGTCTTCGGAAACCGGAACTCCCGAAGTTCTGATCAATGTGTGCAAGACGTACATCCGGCTTATTGTTGAAACTGGTACGACATTACTTTACTTCTCCATACAAGGCAGGCATTGCTGCTACTGAAGTATTCAAACAGGTCCATAGAGCTATCTTTGAGATTGTTTGGTTCTAATTACCCTCTTGTACCCAGAAGCAAAATAAGCAGTGATTTCTATTTTTTTATTCTTATTATTTTTTCCTTAGTTTAGCACTTGGAAGAAAATTGATCCTTCAATGGCTTTTAACACGTTGACGACAGCGCCGCGCAATGGTGCACGGCAGGCAGTCTGTCCCTGTACGACGCCGCGCAATGGTGCGCGGCGGCTTTAATTTCAAAATATCTGTCCAATCCTCTCAGTTTTTGTTTATGTGATCAACATAGGCTCAGATGTACTCCGTTATTAGCCCCGCCCCTTTTGGCAAACTCCGTCCACTCCTATGCCTCTCACAAGGAACCTTTTTGTCCATAAAAAGCATGGATGAGGCTGTAGATGAACGCAAAGACCTTAAGCAACTTCTAGCCAGGTCTCGCCCACCGTCAGGCAAACTCCGCCCCTGAGTGGCAAGCTCCGCCTTTCAAAAGTGGCGCAAATCGCATAAATACTTGAAATTTGGGCAATTTCCGATTTTTGGTCGAGTGGGCGGAGCTTGCCAGAGGAGGCGGGGCTTGCACATTTTGTTCCTCGTGCATGGATGCATGCATATATACATGGGCCACGCGTAGGGATGCATGGAAACGTTCACAGGGACAGACCTCAAAAAAAATGGCTCGCCGTCAACGTGTTAAGATCTTGACGGAAAAGTGCACAATCATTCTTTTCGGACTCTTTGTCCCTAAAATTAGAGGATATCCGGACACGAAAAACTTTAGCTCCGTCGTAATGCGAATCGTTCTTCTTACTGATCCTTTACTGTCTAATGTTTCTGTTATATTATATTTCTTGCTGAAGATTTTCTTTGTGCGTTTACTTTTATTGTCTTGCTCATCTCCCATTTACGCGGGTTTCTAGCCTTATGAGACCCTCTTCTTCCTATCACCGCTCAGGTGTCTTTCTACAATGCGCTTAACGGCAGCAGGCCTGCGCAGTGCAATCATATCACTATGCGGGGCTGGCTTCGCAGCTATTTCATGACTAATAACAGTCATAGATCCCGGTGGCGTACCGAGGGGGGGGGGGCGCCCTCCCCCCCCCCCCGAGAATGGGTCGCGAAATTTTCGAAAGTTGCTTACATGAGTTATAAAAATGTGCAAATGACTTGTTTAATTTTGTAAACAATTAAAATAATTTTTAAAATTTTTTGAAAATTCAAATTAGTACGAAAAAAAAAATTTTCGGGAGGCGTGGCTGACGCCACGCCCCCTTTTTCCAGATTTTAGGGGTTGAGGCCCGCAAAAATTTCAAGAAGCCCCCCTAAAAAATTTTCGGAGTGCTTGGCTGGCGCCACGCATCTTCATCTGAAAAAATTTTTTTGCCGCGCCCTTCCCCCTCGAGCCGATATCCTGGGCACGCCACTGATAGCTCCCAACGATTCATAAAAGAATGAAAGCAGACAGGACGATAAATAGAACGGTAAATCCCTAATCTACGTTTGAGTAAGGCACTAGCGCGCGCATGTCACGCAGCACTAACGAACCTGATACCATTAGACGGTCTATACGTATTGTGAATTGAAATAAAATATGAAGCTGTGGTGCAAAACTGTTATGTTCCAAATTAAAGGTCAAATAACCAAAAAACGTTTGATTCATAAATTGCGAGAATTATGATGGAAGTAAGCTGCATAACCAGGGATGAGGCGTAAAAACTACCAGATAATATGATAACTCTGAGTTACTTATTGGCTTTCCCCTAAGAAAAAATAAAAGGGATCTTAATGACTAACGGATCTTCTGTCCTTATTTTTCCTTTCCTATCTTCTATTCTGTAATGCCTCAAAGCTGTGTGGAATGATAAATGTACTCTCACCATTTACAACAGTGATAATGTCAGTGGTTCTATATGTTCCCCGTTAGGAGACCGCTCAAAGTTTATGGCAGCTCGAAGCGGCTAACTTTGCCCTTTGAAAGCACCGTCCACCCTAGTTAAGGGTCTTAAGTTTTTGACGCATATGGTGGTAGGGTCCCCTACCAGTCCAATGCCAAGTCGCGGCGCAAAATGTCGCTCGTAATAACGAAGATGCACGAGGACTCGCAGAGGGCACAGTCCTCTCCATCCATGCCCGCCCATCGGTGCGCGCCCATCCAATCACCTTTCCGGAACGTGGGTTGTCGGGGTTCGCGGATGCTCGACCTCATATTCGGAAAAAGGGACACGAGAAGGCCGTGAAACGGCAAAAACGTGAAAGTCGAGAATTTGGATGGGCTGGCCTTCAATGATTACATATCCACAACACGTATCAAGGGTGCTCGATCGGAAACCTTTAATAAGTTCAAACGACCATTGGAGCAACCAATCAGCAATTCTTTTTGTTTAAGACAGCAGCGCTCGTTTTCTAGGTGTTTCATACTTTCGGCCAGCCCATTCAATATGTCGAAAACAGTCGAAGCAGCAAACACCGAGCCTTATAGTTGATAGGCCGTCGTTGTTTTTTATACATAGCCTTATTTGACCGTTGCTTGTATGCCAATGGAAAGAATGCAAAGAGTGCGACTTGTGTAGGGGCATATATCGCTAAATATCGGTCTTTATCGTTTTACTTTGCATGGTCTTTTTTGTAAACGAACGTTCTTCGCCTTCGCATTCAGCTCCTAATTCACCATCAGCAATTTGCATTGATGACTTTCTATACATTTCCATTCTTGCGTGAACCAGGTGACCAGCCTTGGCTGCGGCATCATTGCTAACTATTGCCTTTTTGTAGCTGATCACTTGGTTGTGAAGGGCATCACACAGAACTAAGCTTAACGGCCCATCTTTCGCAAATGTTATCATAAAGGTTATGTAACGAGCGACTGTGAACTTCGCATGTTTTTTTTTGTTTGAAAGAACTACGTTGGAATTATGTCTTTCTTGCTTTTGGAAGTTAAATTTCTAACCACGAGTCCTCTGCATCATCCAGGCATCTTGTACCAGCTTTCCCGTGTATCACGGTCACAGAAAATTTGGTAACCCCTACGTTACCTAAGTACTGTGTACAACACGAACGATAGCTAGCACCCAATGGTGATCCCAGTTTCGGATCAGGGGGGGGGGGGGAGGCGCGGCAGAGATATTGAAATGAAAGTGGCGTCAGCCACGCACTCCGAAAAAATTTTTGGAGTGCTTCTTAAAAATTTTTGCAGGTCTCCAACCCTAAAATCTAGAAAAAGGGGCCCCGAAAAAAATTTTTCGAAACTCATTTGAATTTTTAAAAAAATTTGATAATTATTTTAATTATCTACAAGAATACAAGTCACTTGCACATTTTTATAACCCAAAAGTAAACTTCAAAAGGACCCATTCTCGGGGGGGGGGGGAGGAGGCGCGCGCCCTCCCCCCTCGGCCCGCCGCTGCTAGCACCCTATTGTCAGCTGGCTAGCGTAATTCCTTACATCTGATGATTACGTGTCTGTCAATACCGGAGATGCCTGCCTTTTTTTTCTTCAAACAAGTATAAATAGCAAAAGTAAAGCCTGCAACATCGCAAACTCTGTAATCATCACATCAGACTGTAGCGTTATACCACTTCTTGTAGATGAATCGCAAATACATATGCTAGGATTAACGAAGTGTTCAGGCTTAATTTTACGAAGGAATGAATAAACAACCATTCGTTTCCTTTGAAGCTCTATACGAGAAGCATATTGGGGTTGATGCATAAGTTTCGTCATTTTAAACCCATCCTAAACAGTTTATGTAACATTCGATGCTCTTTCCCTGCGACATTTGCAAGAGGGTTTGCCCATCAGTCAATCAGTTAGTTACAGGTGCTCACTGTTATGCCCTAAATTTCAGAACTTTCACCTGATAAGCACTCACTCATTTGGCAAAGGTGATGGCAGTTACAATCGAGCTCAATTACTGTTTCTGAAAATGTTGAAGTATTTGGTGCAATTAATTGTCAGGCGATTTTACCAAAACAGATTATTTGAAAAAAGCGAATTTGAGAAAGGGTTTGCAAAAGGTTTGCCCTATCCTTTGGTTATCGCAATCCCCTGTCTTGAATGATAGATTCGAAACACTTAGCAAAAAAAGGTGCAAAGTAATGGCGATTATCTCAGCACTCCTGTGAAAAACATTTGTAACATAGCTGCTGGAAAGAGGACAAAAATTGTGCACTAATACTGCTCAAAGTTCTTGTTTATCTTTACTCTTTACAGGTACAAGTAACTGACAAAGCTCCTCCATCCACTTAATATAATTCTGGAAAGGAAAGAGATTGCTTGTCATTGAATAAAATGCAGGTTTTGAGAATATCAATTTTGAAAAAAAACAGATCAAATGGATTGTTCAATGTTTACATTTGTCTTTTTTGCACCAGTGATCGCCTGGAGTACTTTGAATTCGTGCTTCCAAGAGATGTCGTCGAGATATGAGAACCTTTCATTTCTACTTTATGCAGAATGAGCCTTTTATGGTTTCTGCTGTAAATTCCACCGTGGTAGGGAGTGAGGTGCGCCTGGCAAATGTAACAACTTAAAATTTTTAGCGGGAATCCTTGTGAGTAGGAGCAGAAGTCCAATTCTTTTTTGCTCAAACTCTAAAAACTTTTTGTATCACGTTATGCTACCGGATGCTTCAAAGTTTATACGCTTCTGAAGTAACAAAACAAAGTTTTTTCTCAAATGCAGCTCGTCTCTCTTGGTGAGTTTCGGAGTAGAACTGATGGTGGCGGAGAGAAGTCAGATTCGTTGATTTAATTTGTAAGCAATTGCTCCAAAGTTGGAAACAGTCTATCATATTTTCGATGAAGTAAGGTTTCTTTGCATATGAACAATAAAACAAGGTGCTGAAAATCCCTATCTCAAAATTACTCGTCATTAACTTGCGACCCAATGAAGGGTACGCTGACTTCGTTGCCGAAGCTGCTTTTTTGCATGACCGATGGTCTCATTTTCACTGTACATGAACCTGAGCTCTATTAAGGTTCGCAAGTCGGTTTGACGACACCTTCGCTTGTTCATCAAACAAATGTTTTTTTCTATTGCGGTGATTCTCTTTCCTCTTTGGTTTAATCCCGTTGTGCAAGAAGTTAGAGACAGCAATTTCATTTGTATGGAACCAGTGCTGTGCTCCACAAAATTAGCCTTAGTCTCATTATCTACATGTCTCCTGCTGTTAATGCAAAATAAGTTTCTGCTTTGAAAGCGGAGCAAGCTCGCGCAGCGTACTAACTGTTAACATCGTTCCAAACTAATGAGTCCCGCCTTCTGCTTGCCAAAATAATAATGACGGTGAATGATGTCGAGCATGAATGAACTGCGAAAAGTTTTCAATTTTGAATGCTTTTTCATAAATTTGACAGCTGCTACCTTGAGAGAAAAAATTACTTTGTCAGAAAAATGAAACAGTTTTCAGATAGATCAACAAATTCATTGAAAGACGGTTCTTATTTGGCATGACATAATTTTAACAACTCTGCTTACTGTGCTCTTGTAGTACAAATCGAGAGGACGAGCGAGTGGTGCATTCATGGAGAACCGACGAGGTTAAGTCTCAATCGCACCATTCAGTGCCTTATTTTCTCCGGGGATATTTCTTGAATCAAGCATGTGATTTCTGACTACTGCAGCTCACGTAAAGATTCATTAGTTACCAGTAGGCTCTTCGATTATGTAATACAGTGCTATCCTGTTCAAGAAAAATTATCAGTAATAACCAAATGCTTCACCTATTTTCTTTATGTCTGAGAGACTTCCTTTGGCCAAGCATCATCCTATAAAATTTCTGCTTCTTTTTTTAACTTTAATTTGACTCACTGCTTGATGTGGTCCCTTTTTTGGAAATCCTTGCTTTGATAATTAGGGCTTACAGGCTGTTCCTTACTTTGATATTTCAGGCTTACATGCTGCAAGTACAATGTTCTGCTTTGCTGCCTATCAACAGCTGGAATCTTTGCCATCTTGCTTGATCATCCCGCATTAGAATAGTGTTCCTAAATTCTCGAAATTTTTTAGCTTTGGTTCGAATTTCTTTTGTGCCGTAGGGGTTCGCAAGTGGTTTTTACGTTCGACGCTTTCGCTTCCTCAGAGGCCTGCATGGTTCTAATTGCCATCCATAATTTCAGACTACTAGGCCTTTCCTCCAACTTTGCTAGATTTCGACCTTTTCGCTCTCGCTACTAAATAAAAGGAATAAAATGTCACTTTAAAAGACATGGGTAGCGAGATTGTGAGAAGGTCGAAAACAGCAGAGCTGGAGGAGACGCTCGGTGGTCTGGATTTGCGGATGACACTTAAACCTCAAGCTGAGGAAGAAAAAGGCGTTGAAACTTAAGGCCGTGAATGCAAGAAATAGAAACCACTTCTCAAATCCGTACGGCACGAAAGAAATTTGAACATACGACATGTGCCAAGGATTCATGAAAACGGGACTTGAAAATTAATTTTAGTTTTTTTTCTCTTGAGAATTAGCCGAGTTGTTTGTTTTGAAAAATAGGTTGTACTCCTTCTGTCTAAGCTAAAATCAAAAAACAGCAAAAGCAAGGCAGTGCGCGGTAATTTCGGTTGTATGAGCAGTCGAGTTTCCAAATTTTTAATTGTGTTTCAGTAGAATGTTGAGTCTTAACAATGATTAGTGGCATAAACATGTAGTGGTCAAATCTTGATTTAACTCTTGCCTGAAAGCTTTTGCACATGATTTGCAGCTTTGTGATAAATCATAATTATCCATTAGTATAGTTTTTTGGTGTCATGTATTTTCGTAAAATTAAATATCATAAAACACTTATCGAAGGCATACCGCAGGTTCAGAAAAGTGCTTGCGATTAGCTTTCTTGCTTTTTGCTCTATCTCTCTATCGCTATCCAAGCAAAGTAATTCCGGGGAAATGCTTCATTTACATGTATAAATAGTGACAACTTTATGATCCCCGAAGTTATGTTTCTATATTTTCGATCTTCATTGTGGGGACCATCAGTCGGATTGGCCGGTAGAATGCGCATACTTCAGATCATTCCTGTCCAAACTACCACTATCGTTATGCCTGTCTACCACTCGCAAAGCCCTCTCTTAGCCCTATGCGATCGAAAAGACTCAATTGCCAAGAGACGCCGCAGTGTACACATTCCTTTGAGGACTTGCTTAGAATATCATTCAGGCTTTCCCCTTGCCTTTCTTCGTTATTACCATAGGCCAACCTCTCCCATAATCTTTCTTTCACGCTTACATTAATAAGTGGCAGTGTCATGCGCACGCATGTATTTCTGTCTGCAATAGATGTAGAAAATCTGCAAATAAATTCTTACTCTTCCCGTCTTTGTATTCTTTCCTGTGTTCCTGTGTTAGTTCTGCCTGCATGTCGATAAGATGTGAAGTCGTATAATATAATGGCGACACTGTACTGAATCGTATTGGAAGCAAATTTTCAAAAACTTTCTTCATACAATTCTGATGTATAAAAAATATAAACAAAATTTAGCCTGGCTTATTGGAATAATGTAAAGCAAAATTGCGCATAAACAAGAATCAAACAAAAAAACATTTTACTCTTTATACGAGAGCGCAATTTCTTGAAACTCTTAAGATGCATAATTCAGACGACGATTCTGCATAAAACTCAGCTATTTCGACCTCTTGCCGTACAGCTAAAGTAAGCCTGCCGTATGACGCTTACGAAGGTCATCTTGTTGGTCAGCCTTTTGATAGTCGCTTTTGATTACACGCTCTCCAATTCCCTCAAAGCACTCCATATTCTACTGATGAGATCAAAAGTCGCAACTATTGTTGTAATTTATTGAGAACGAGTAACTGCACTTCTTAAGTCTTTCACAGAAAGTTGGCACGAAAATGCTATGAATGTTATCTCGTTGAAGAGTGACTTTTAACGCCGGCGACGTTGTCTCGGCGATCAATTTGATAAATAACGTTGCAGAGTTTCTATGAAAAATCGCGGAGATTTACTACCTGAGTCAAATATCCCATCGGCTCTGATCTTTCTTCTCTGCTGGCGCCATAAGCTCGACTTTACCAGCGCGCTGCATAAGCGATAAGTAACTTCATTTTCTCGACCGCTGTGACTGATCGTGGATAAATCAGATTATATATTGAATATAGTTCAAATAATAGGTCGTTTCATAAGTTCGTAGAGTTTTTATTTTTGTAGCTCAGGCTCCCGCCAGAGTGCCGAAGTTATGCCAGCGCTACGCCAGCATTTCGATCGATACACGTGTATTTCATTGGGGCGGGGCTAGCTGACGTCCCCAACGAAATACACGTGTATCGATCGAAATGCTGGCGTAGCGCTGGCATAACTTCGGCACTCTGGCGGAAGCCTCAGTCAGTCGTATGGCCCCAAGGTTTCATGCAGATATGTGAATCTAAGGACTTTCGTTTGATGTTCACGCCAATTAGCTTCAAATTGCCAGAATCTGCATATCTGGTATATTGCTTCCGTTTATTGAAATTTCCGCCATATGCCAATGTCTCTTAGGGCCGCATGCTTCATCCCCGCCGGGGAGTAGACCGCAGCTTAGCAGAAAGCTCATATCCTGAAGCTCCGAACAACTAGATTCCGCACTGTCTATCTATCCTTAAAGGCAGCCTACACCCAAAATCTAAGTTACCGAATTTCTTAGATCTTTCTATACCATGTATATACTGGGCCCAGAAGAAGACCAACTGCGTTGGTCCGGTCTCCCAATGTTGCTTCTGAGTGGAGAAAACCCCCCTCAATTTTCTTTCACTACGCCCCTTTTCTTTCGCTCCGCCTCCTCCGGACGAATCCACGAAGCGTAAGCTTCAGTTGCCGTTGCAGTTGCTGTTGCAATGCTGTTGCAATGCTGTTGCATCTGCAACTGCAGTTGCAACAGTGCAGTTGCTTTTTGCTCGGCGCCTCCTTCGGGCGACGAACCACGACAGCATATGCCGCAGTTGCAGTTGCAACTGCAGGCTGTCATGCTGTTGCAGCTGCTGGCATGCCGACAAGGACGAGAAGTTCGAAACTCGTCCGTCCCTGAAGAAAGAGTCCCCGGAAATGGGGGTTTTCTGGGACTTTTGGAGGATTTCAATGACATAACTGTAATCAGCGGCACGGAAAGGCCCCAGAATGACAAAAACATCGAAGGTGAAATTTTGGGTGTGCGCTGCCTTTAAGCATTCTTACCATCCTTCATTAGCGAGAACTTTCACGACCTATTCTCGAAGGGGGGGGGGAGCTGCCTGTTCCCCCCCCCCCAAGAATGGGTCGCGATATTTCCGAAAGTTACTTACATGAGTTATAAAATGTGCAAGTGACTTGCTTATACTTGTAAGTAATTCAAATAATTTGAAAATTTTTTGGAAATTCGATTTAGCCTTATAAAAAGTTTTTTTTCGGAAACGGGCTGACGCCACGCACCTTAATCAGAAAATTTTTTGTCGCGCTGCCCCCTCCCCCCCCCCTTCCCCAACGGAATTCCTGCGTACGCCACAGCTGTGAACATATAGGACCGGAGCTAGAAGCTGTACAAGCGCCTTTTCCAGCTTTTTGCATGATTCCCGATGATCCCCGCGGCCAACCGTCTTTTTACCTTCTCCGAAGCTAACAAAAAGCTTCCAAAGTTGTACAGATTATCTAATCTGACCGTGCTGAAAATTGAAAAGGAAATAGTCAGAACGTAACCGAACCATTCCAAACAAGCTGTATATCATCGGATGTCTCAAAAGCCAATCACAAATATATGTTTTTTTCACCTGCCAAGAGGCTATTTAGATGGAGTTATGAGCGTTCAAATACGAGAAATACTTTGAGTTTCGACGAATATATTTCGTTGAAAGGTAGCGTGATGGCGCGGTTCTACAGGGGCTATGGTTATTTCAATTACAAGAAAGAAGCACATTCACTAAAAATCTAAATACGTGCTTTTGAAACCTACTTCGTGGAACATGCGCCACAGAACACTTCACAAATCGCACATTCAAACGCTCATAACACCTCCAAGATATTCGCTTGGCAGATAAAAAAACGTATATATGAAGTCAGGAAGTACATATGAAATATTGTAAGCATGTTGCTGACAAGAACAAATGATCTGTTGAAGTCATAAACTTTGCGATGAATCATAAATCGAAAGTTGGGGTTTGTCGAAAAATTCGAATTTTCGAAAACTCGTTTTTTCTTATCGCCAACATGCTCAACACTGCCGGGTTAAATAATCTGTATAATTTTGGAAGGTTTTCGCTAACATCCAAGAAAGAAAAACGACTCTGAAGAAAAGACGGTGGGCACCCGGGGATCATCAAAGGATCATATAAAAGCGGCTTGTACAGCTTTTCGTTCCTGTTCTACATGCTCATAGCAGTGGCGGTTCCAGGATTTCCGCCCGGGGGGAGGGCGCGGAAAACGCACTGCAAAAAATTTTTTGGGATGCGTCTTGGAATTTTTTGGGTTCAAACACCTAAAATCTAGGAAAAGGGGGCGTGGCGTCAGCCGCGCCTCCGAAAAATTTTTTTTACAAGGCTAGTCAATTTTTGAAAAGTAAATTATTTTAATTATTTACAAAAGCAATTCATTCTCACATTCTCATAACCTATGTAGGTAAGTTTCAAAAATTTCGCGACCCGTTCTCAGGGCGGGGGGGGGGGGCGTCCCCCCCCCCTCGGTCCGCCACTAATTCATAGTGAAGGATGGTAGGAATACTTACGGATAGCTAAACAATGTTAAATCTAGAAGTTCGGAGCTTTACGATATGAAGCATTCTGTTAAGCTGCGATCCCCTTCCTGCTGGAGATGTTAATACATGCGGTCTTTAGTGTGTTACAGTTGAATTTATTACAAATTCCTGAAAGTAAGTACAAGTGTCATGGCAAATATGCAGATTTTTGCAACAAAAAAAAACAGATACAGATGCCTTCACTATCCCGTTTGATTTTTCTCGAACTATTATTATTATGCAGTGCCTGTGTTGAATTTAGTCACATCACTTAGCACCACAAACAATTCCGCAATAATTTTTTGAAAAGCAGTTAGAAGCTTGTTCAAAGCCCTTTTGTTGTTGTTTATTCTGTACCAACTCACACTTGCAAAAGTAGAATTCTGAAGGAATTCCACGTTTGCAAGTGCGAGTTGATGCAACAGTGTTTGCGAGAAATTTTTTGGCTTTTCCGGTAAGAAAAAGACGCAAAAAATTCTAAATTAGTGTTCTTTTTAGCGTTTATTGCTTATTTTTGTTGCTAACAGGAATTTTCATTGACTAAGTCTAGCACGATGGACACCGGGATCTCAACTATCTTTTGCGTACTTTCGTAACTTCGCAAAACACTTGCGCTGAGTGTAGTATTTTAAAAACGCGATCGGAAGCGCGTTTACTCAGATTGCTTTTACCGCCAACTTATCTCACACTTGTGTACTGGGTATGAAGTTTTAGCGCATTGGCCTTTCATGCTTCTCCTCTAAGGACCTAACAAGGGAAGGATACTCTATAGAAGTGGCGTTTTCATA